CCATAGCAACTGACGCGCTGTTGACTCGGCTGGCGGTGGCGAGCGAAGGAACCTGCCTAGGTCGGAGTCCCACAGCTCAAGACTGTTCCCTTTCTCGACGCGTTTATCGCCGTCAGACCCGCGCCAAGCCCCGTCTCTCTTGGGGCGCAGACTTTGGGAGAGGTGAGCGATCAAAAGATAGGGTATTTGTCCTGCAGGGACGTTGGGACAAGCGAAGTGATTGCGAGCAACAGTGGCTTATCCCTTATATGTGCGTGCGTGCGTGCGAGCTGGTTGGTCCTCGTCTGGGAAAAGGAAAGGCACCCCCCCCCCCATATGCCAGGGTTTGGGGGCTCAGTCCCCCTCAGCCTGTTAGTGGCACCGTAGAAGCTGAATCTACTTTTCTGTCTTTCCATCTCCGGAAAGTGACTGGGTTTGTGAGAAATTGCTGTGATTCAAACAGACTGATTCCTACCCACGTTTTGCTTGGAATTAAGTTCCACTATGGCTGTGATCATCTCAATAAGCCACATAGAACACGGTGGGTCATATTCCAAGCAAGCATACACATACACAAGACAGACTGTAAAGTGAATGATTTTATTCTTCCTCCATGAAGGTATGGGGGGGGGGTGCCATCTTCCAAGGGCGACTTCTTTAAGGGTAGCTTCTGATATTTAATTCATTTACATTGGGGTCCCCTGCCTTTTTAAGCTTCTGTGCAGATTTGGAATTTTGAGAATGGGTAGTGACTTGGACCTACTGCAAAGATCATGCAAAGGGCTGCAGATTTTCCTTGGTTTGGCTTCCCATCAGTAATTCCTTCCATCCCTGGGAAAGTTTATTCCTAGTACCCTCACAGGCTCGGAAGTTTCAGTGGGGAGGGGGCAAAACTGCTCCTTCTTCCATCAGTTGTGCAGAGAAAGCAGGGAGGATTTCCACCATCAGCTCCTTAGATCCAAACCTGGAGACCATATAGTTTGCTTCCTGCACAGCACCAGGGAAATGTTTCCAAGCCCAGAACATACGAGAGTAACATATGAGACTCAAGCGGAGAGTGAGTGGCTGTGTGACCTGCCTGCCTGGGATGGGATGAACTCAGTGCTTTGCTAATCAGTCAGTTGGTAAAAGGGGTGAGCCAAATCCCTTTTCCTTCTTCCACTCAGGAATATTTGTGTTTTATCTCCAAGAGTCAAGAAACAAGCTAACACTAGGGAATACATTGCCAGGCACCATGATGCTCCCAGATTAGGGATCACTGTCCTACATGCATACTGAAAATGCATCTAGGGAAGCAACCACAGAGTCATGCATCTTTCTAAAGACAGATTGGTAAGATCATCCACCCATAACGTTATTTATTTTTTTGGATAGTTATACCCCACTTTTCTCTCCATGTGGCTTAACTCATTGTTCTTCTATCCATTTTATTCTCATAACACCAATCCTGCAAGGCAGATCAAGCTGAGAGAGAGTGACTGATCCAAGGTCACCCAGCTTCCAGTACAGAGTGGCAACTCAAACTTAGGTGTCCCAGATCCTAGTACGACACTGTAACCACTACATGACACTTACAGTGCAATCCTAAACAGAATTACACTCTTTTAAATCCATGGAAGTTAATGATCTTAGAAGGGTGTAACTTCGCTTAGGATTGCACTGTGAGTCTCTGAACATCTTGAGGTAAATGCTGGGGGGAAACCATCCCATACTAGTTTCCAGCTGGGTAGCTGTGTTAGCCTGTTGCAGCCAAAAGAAAAAGACTGTATTACTTTAAAGACTAGCACATTTGCTGAAGCATTTGTGGGCTAGGACTCCGCTCATGTCTGCAGGGCCTTCTGAAGTTGCTAACCTGCAAGCGCTTTTTCCATTGTGGCCCCCACCTTGTGGAACAGCCTGTCTGAGGAGGTCAGGAAGGCTCCCACTCTCCTGGCTTTCCACAAACTATGCAAAACTGAATTATTCAAGGTGGCTTTTCTGCCCAGGTAATAGGGCTGTGTTGTACAAATGGTTCACAAATGGATAAATGATTAAGGACCGTGTGGTTTTTACTGCTATGTATAGCTTAGGGTAAGGAGCTGCGGTGGCTCAAGTGGTTAAGACGCTGAACTGCAGGCTGTGGAAGGTCAGTAGTTCAGCAGTTCCAGACCCGAGTGTGCCGCATGACGGAGTGAGCTCCCATCTCTAGTTCCAGCTCCTGCCAACCTAGCAGTTTGAAAGCAAGAAATTGCAAGTAGATAAATAGGTACTGCTTTGGTGAGAAGGTAACAGCGTTCTGTGCGCCTTGGTGTTTAGTCATGCTGGCCACATGACCACGGAAACGTCTTCGGACAGCGCTAGCTCTTCGGCTCTGAAACAGAGATGAGCACCGCAACCCTAGAGTTGGACTCGACTGGCTTTCGAGCAAGGGAACCTTTACCTTTACCTTTTATAGCTTAGCATAAGAAGGATCATACTATTTAATTTTTGCACCGCTTTATAGAACTTGATAGGATCCAATGCAAATAACATCAGACCTTATATAGCAATCACGTAATCCTGCCATGGGGTTGATTTATCGGTACTATATTTAGAGTGTGATGAAGCATTATGAACTGATTATATTTATCTGTATTTATATATGTATTCAGGTGGGTAGCCATGTTGGTTTGAAGCAACAGAACAAAGTTTGAGTCCAGTGGCACCTTTAAGACCAGCGAAGTTTAATTCTAGGTATAAGCTTATACCCAGAATTAAACTTTGTTGGTCTTAAAGGCACCCATGGACTCACAATTTATTTATTTATTTACTTATTCATTTTAAAAATTAAACTATATTTTATTTCATGCCTTCTTAAAGCACAATACCACCACCATCAGAAAAGGCTCAGAAATATATAGTTTGTTGGCAGCATGGGAAGAAACATAAAAGAGGCACTTATATAGTTACGGTGACCACTGAGCTCAAACTTCGTGTGCGTGTGTGTGAAATAGTGTAGTACAGCAAATGTGAAATAGTATAGTGTAGCCAAATCTTGTCAGATCTTAGAAGCTAAGGAGGGGGTCAGTACCAGTGTTCCCTCTAAGCTGAGTTAGTGTGAGCCAGCTCACAGTTCTTTAGCCTCCGGCTCACACATTTTTGTCTCGGCTCAGGAAGGGATGGCTCCAGAGGCAAACTAATTTATGCAGTAGTCAAATCGCTCGCTCACAACTTCAATGCCAGTAGCTCACAAAGTAGAATTTCTGCTCATAAGACTCCACACCTTAGAGGGAACATTGGTCAGTACTTGGATGGGACACCACTAAGGATGACTTTGCTTTTTCACTTGCCTTTGGGTCAACTTGTCAATGAATCCAAAAAGCATGCTATTAAATATCTTACCATGTAATATATTAAGAATCCACAGTGAACTATTTAAATATATTTAAATACATATATATGGTAGTAGCAGCAAGAGTGGTATTTGTGTCTAAATGGAAGGCTGGAAAATGCCCAGAATTGACTGACTGGAAAAACTAACTGAGTATGCAACAATGGCAAAGCTGACATCCTACTTGCATAATAGACCAGACTCAGAATTCCAAGAAAGATGGAACATATTTTTTGAATATATAGATCAAAACTAAGATTGAATAATTTAAGGATTAAAACAAGAGCTGAATGACAAAGTGCAGAATGATTAAGAGGTAGAATTAAGCAATATAAGTCTATAATGATGAAATGTTAGAAATGAAGGAATGAAAAATGATAGAACATAGACTAAAATAAAGTATATAAGTAATTTGTATGTAGCAAAGTAATATCTGTTCAATAACTTCGATGGATAGAAAAATGCAGTTAGTTATAATACAATAGATAATATAGATTTTTAAAATTTGTTTTATTTATTGTACTTATATCCCACCCTATCCCATGATGGGCTCAGGGGCGACAGAAATGAAAATGATACATGACAACTAATGGTAAAGTGCCGGAAAATGTGTACCCCATAGATTTGTTACATTTGTAAGACTGAAGTAGCTTCTGTTATATATTTGCAAGCTGTAGCTACATCTATTTTTCAAACCAACTGTTAAATTGAAATGTTATGTACTGTTATAGAGATGTTTGTATTAATTTTTGCTTTATTTAATAAAAACCTGCAGAATGTTGTTGATGGGTGCCCCTGTGAGGGAACACATCCAACTGGTGCTGAGGGCGCTGCACTGGCTGCCAATAGCGTTCCGGATACGCTTCAAGGTGCTGGTTATGACCTTTAAAGACCTTTATGGTCTGGGGCTTGTCTACCTGCGGGACCGCCTTTCCCTGTACGTTCCCCCGAGAGCACTGAGATCGGAGTCGCAGGACCGCTTAGTCCCCCCTGGCCCTAGGGACGCCAAGCTAACAACTACTAGAACTAGGGTGTTCTCTTTAGCCACACCGACACTGTGGAACCAGCTCCCACATGAGATCCGCGCTCTCCGGGATCTCCGCCAGTTCCGGAGAGCGGTGAAGACGGAGTTATTCCGCGAAGCATGACAGCACTTTATGGTTGCCGCCACGTGTATGTTGTACTGTGTGTAATTTGCAATTTTATTGTATTGTTACAGATTGTTTTAGATGTGTTTTATTGGTTTTACTGTTGTAAGCCGCCCTGAGCTGCTTCGGCGGGAGGGCGGGATAAAAATCAAATCAAATAAATAAATAAATAAATAAAAGAAATGAAAATGATAAATATATGATCAAAACCCAATTAAATAAAACAAGATGGCAGCAAGGAAACATAACATCAGTCCAGAGCATCCCAATACGCTTATGAATTATGGTTATGAATGGTCTATTTTAAAATTCATATTTACGTTTTTGTCCATCAAATATGATTGCTCATGTGAAAATGCAGTAATGTAGTATTTCTATCTTGTTTTTCTCTCTGTTCTTTTTCTTTTCTGTTTGTTTTTGTTTGTTAGTAGAAACAAAAATTATAGATATAGAAAACCCTTTGGGATCACTTTACACACACACATCTTTTTTCTCTGCTAATTATTGTGTACTTGTTATTTTAGATGTCAGCTCCGAATAAATCAGCAGACTCCCAAGACGATGATGATGCATGGAACATTCAGTTACCACCCATAGATTTGCCCTCTACATCCCAGAGTTTGACGGAAACACAAAAAAAGCTGCTGAAATACCGCAGAGTCAAGGAGCAGCAAAAGATGCTGAATAAGATAATGTAAGTGACTGTGTTATATTTTCTTCAGGAGAAGATGCTATTTGTAATCGCATTAGACTCTGCTGCCAAGCAAGTACTGTACCAGGAAGCAGAAGGCAGCCTGTAGCTCTGCTTTTCACAGCACCTTGATGTGGAGGCATTAGCCAGAATATAAGAAGAGCCCTACTGGATCAGAGCAGTGGTCCATCTATTCCAGCATCTGTTCTTATATCAAAGTGGGCAACCAGTTACTATGGAAGGCAACCAACAGAACATATAGGCCATAGTCTTTTCCTGATGGTGACTACTGGCACTGGTATTCAGAAGTTTACTGCCTCTGAACATGAAAGTTCCCTTTAGTCACCATGGCTAGTAGCCACTGATAGACTTGTCCTCTGTGAATCTTTCTAATCCTGTGTTAATGCTGCCTATGTTTGTGGACTTTGTTTTCACAAGTAATCCCAGGTATTTCAGCCCCATGTGGTAATGTTTATTTATTTACAAAATTTATACCCTGCCTTTCTGTCCTTATCAGACCAAACAAGTTGGCTAACAGATTAAAAATTTACTTAAGAAAAACGTATCTTAAAAACCTTTAAAACCAAACAAAAACATATCATTAACATAATTAAAACCAAGCTAAAATACACATACAAAACATCAAAATAACAATGAAAACACAGGGCAGGATGGAGGGATCACTGAGGAAATGCCAGATGAAACAAAAAAAGTCTTTCCTCACTGACAGAAGATGGCAATGGAAGATGGGGAGAGTGTTCCAGAGTGCCATGGCCAAGGAGGCTCTCTCTTGGGTTGCCACCTGCCTAATCTCAGGAGCTGGGCGCACCCAAAGTATGGCCTCAGAAGATGACTATAGTTGTTGGGTTACTGTCTGTTCGTAAAGGATTAGACAGTCCTACAGGTATGCTAGCCCACAGCCATGTAGGGCTTTAAAGGTCAACACCAACACCCTGAATTGTGCTTGGAAACAAATTGCGAGCCAGTGTACATGGGCCAAGAAGACTGGACCGATATGGTCTATCCCCTCTAGTCAACATCTTGGCTGCAGCATTCTGCACCAGTTGAAGTTTCCAAACACTTTTCAAGGGCCATTTCCTCATAGATATCTGCTCCAGGTTCAATGCTGTTGGGAAGCAGCTTTTCCCCTCATTCCCCACAGCATCATGGTGTGTTTGGGTACCTCTCAGGGTTTCCTTGGCTTTTCTCTGATATTTCTCAAACCTGCTTTGCTTCAGAGTTTTGGGAAAGATCACAGTAAAGCCTGGATAGCTACTGTGTTATTGGGAAAAAATTGTATTATCCAGATGTTAGCCATTTCCTTGCCCCCTGCCACTGGAGAATTTTATGTATACTTTTTTAAAAAAAAACACCAGCACTAGAATACTGTTGTATCAATATACCATTGTTACAATGTGGTTAACAGTTCTGTGAATTTCCTGCTTTCATTAAAAACAAGCAAGTGTCTAGTCACTTCCATTGCAAAGATATTAAGGAAAAGACCTATCTCTACAATGGAAGGAGCAGTATAGAGCACTGCTCTAATTTTTGTAATCCAAATTCTTGCACTGGGAAGTGTTATGTATACTGCTCTTTGATTTTAACTGTATGATTTCTTCCTCCTTGAGTCTCAATGAGAAAGGCAGGCTCTAAATGAAGTGAATAAATAAAACAGTATGGGGACAATATGGCAAGGCAGTGCCCAAAAAGCCTGACCTAGCAGCTATTTTCTTTGCAGTATGTTATATTAGCTTTCAAAAGCTTATATACAAGTTTCTAAAATTGCTTCCAAACTGTACATTTTTCTTCAGCGTTACTGGTGCTATGCAGGACTATACAACAGCCATAGAAGAATTTGCTAAGAAAGGTACTCCACCTCCTGCTCCAGAACTGCCTGCTACAGTAAGTTTGTAATGTGTTTTAAGATATGATATTGGTACATCTAAGACTTATACCCATAAGACAAGGAGAAAGAAGAAAACAGAATTGCATGCACAGAATATATTGAGTCAGACATTATTCAGGTTGACTGGGCTAGGTCCTAATATTTTTTAGAATCTTTATCATGTCAGAGAATAACAGAGGATCCTTATTGTTGTATCGGCAACTGAAGGAACAAGAGGACCCAGTACAATGTTATCCCAATTGATGCTGTCTCTGCTGCTACTGCAAAGAACTAGGGGAACAAAGATGTCAGTTATTCCTCCTCATGCCTACAATGCTTCAGAACTCTTTCTTTTTCTGGGGGGCTTGTGGGGAGTCCAGTGAAAAAAAATACACACACTCCAGAAATCAGTTGTTAGAGTTCCCGTAGGACAAACATTTATTTATTATATTTTAATCCCATGGGGGGGGAGTTCCCAAATTCAGGACAGGACATCCTTCCTTTCAACACTGCAGTCAATTGACAGCTGTAGCAATGTTTTTGTATGCAGGGAAGTACAGTGAATTTCAGAGAGAATGTGTTGGATCCAGCACAAAAACTGTGCAAGAATTGAGCAAGAACCCCATGTCTTCCCCAACTTGTCCCTCCTCCCAGCAGCCATTTCTGATCTCAGGAAGTTTTCTTCCTGGGATTATGAAACCCACAGGGATCCAAATCATGGGATCCAAGCCAGTGTTTATTATCTAAACACTTTAGGATTACAAGCAAATAAATAGTTCTTATTTATTTATTATGGTTCTTATTTGATGTTAATTTTATATATTTATTATTGTTGTACTTTTTTCATAGATGAATAGTGAGCAGAGGAAAATACGAGTAAGTGAAGCATTTTCTTAATTTTGAAGTGACGTGTTGCTTGATTCTGGGGGGGGAAATCTGTCTAAAGAACCTCTCACTTCCTGAATCATTGGTTTTAAAATGTCGCATATTATGGGTGAAATTATGTGCTTGAATAACTTAGAAGATGCTCTAAAGTTCTGTCAAGTAAACTTGAAGACCACATTGGTGGTCTGTGGGACAAGAAAAAATGGGGAACTATTGGAGTGTGGATGTCTTGGGTATCTAATATGGTTTAAAAGCTACCATCTATTTTTGAATGGATGGAATTACATTGCACACTGGATAAAATCAGGAATGACCTCTCCTGGAAGGTGCTATTTGTTTAGTTAGTGAATTATCACTTACTCTTCTGTTTATTGCATCCCTTTGTATTAGATCTTACATGCACAAGTTGTGCCAAAGCAAGCTGAATGCAGCTTATTAGTAATGTATGACATCCTACTCAGATTTGCTAAACTTAGGGTTTTTCTTTTTTCAGTCTGCCCAGAACTGCAAAAACAGGAAAGTCATGTTTGGCTTGGTGGTTCACAAGCATGCATTAGACAATCCCTGCTGCTTCATGTGCCGGTTAGCAGATACTGTACTCCAGTTGCCTTTGGACTATGAGTTAGGACTCTTATGTGTCCCACCTGCTGGGTTGTGAGCCCTTCTAGACTAGGGGAGGGGAGATCAGGTCTCCCAATATAGCCCGGTCTCCCCATTTCCTGCTGCCACTCAACAAGGCAGTATGGGAGGGATGAAGTGATTCATGCACCAATTATGCAACATCATTTCTGGTGCAAAACAAGAAATGACATCATTACACTGCTATGATGCTCTAGGATACACCTAGAGTTGGATACCTTGTTTCCATCCCCCAAAGTCTGCTGCCAGAATGCGACTAAGGGCTGGCAACCCTACTCTAGACCTACTGTTTGTGGGGTTTGGGTTTTTTTTGTGGTTTTCTTTTTGCTGCCTTCTGGATTGACCTATTTCTGGTTCCTGTACATATTTATTATTTATTTTATTCAATTTATACCCCGCCCTCCCCACTACACGGGCTCAGGGCGGCTTACAGGAGGCATACACCAATATAAAACATACTTAAAATCATTTAAAATCACCACAATACAATAACATTATTAACAAGTTATTACCAAAAGTGCTCTAGATGTTCAACATGATCTTTCACAAGATGGCGTATTTCACTGCTCTATTGCAACTGCTCTATCTACTCGGCGTCATCTGCTCCGGGAAACAGTGATGTTCCCTCCACCACGGCCAGGTTAAGATGGAACAGTAGTGATGGTAGTGGTGGCTCCTACTCATATGCCTGGTGGAAGAGCTCCGTCTTACAGGCCCTGCAGAACTGTACAAGGTCCCGCAGGGCCCGGATTTCCTCCGGGAGCTCGTTCCACCAGGTAGGAACCGCCACCGAGAAAGCCCTGGCCCTGGTAGTGGCCAGCCTGGCCTCTTTGGGGCCTGGCAATACCAGGAGATGTTGCATCCCAGACCGAAGTGCCCACGGGGGAACATATGAGGAAAGGGCACCACAGAGAGAACAAGGGCACGACAGCTCCTGCTACTCTGCGTGTATTCTGAGAGGAGCAATAGGATGGTGAGATGAGGTCACTAATGGTAGATATAAACTAAATTAGCAGTTTCCCCCTTCCCTCTGCATGTCATTTCTCAGGGTACCCTATCTCCTAGGAGCAGCATTTTATGGAGATCAGTGGGCTGCCAGGGGAGGGGAGAGACAGGAGAATTACATTCCACATATGGAAAATGTAGTTTGGATCCAACTCATGGTTCTGATACGTGGCTTATCCCTCACAAAAGTATACTTCCTGGTGCTTAGTTTGTTTCCTGATCCCAGTTCCCTTGGACTGCTGCCCATGGTTCTGGCCTTGACGCAGGTGAGATCATCATATCTCTGGCTCCTCCTCTTCCTGTCATGTAATTCTGATGTTACATGCTTGCAGCTCAGTGGCTCCTAAGTCTGGAAAAACCATGTTAGGACATGGTGATGTTCTTTCCTGTTAACTACCATTACATATTGATTTCCTGTTAACTTCTGTTCTCTGTTGAAACTTTAAAATATGATGCCCCTCTTTATCCCAAGTAGAAGGTGATGTATATATTGAATATCCAGTTTGATAAACAGCTGTGGAGAACTCAAATGCTTACATGCTGTTTTGTCTAATTTTGGTTGGTCAATTTACTAAGTATATTTTTATCTCATGTTTCTCCCCAATGGGGACCCAAAGCAGCTATAATAAAAGGTATTACATGGCTTTTGTTTTGAATAACCTTCTTTGAATAATTTCTTTCATGATATTACATTGTTCCATTGACTATTGAAGTTGCCCAAAGTTTTGGGGGCTTAGCATAAAAGCTATTACATTTGCTATGAATATCAGTATTAGCTATCGGTAAATTATCCAGTTTTCTGATAATCTTTTCTGTTGTTGAATTACAGAAGGGATAAGCTAATTTAAATGCTTACTGTGTGCTGCAATGTTATGCAAACATTTCTTACCGTGTGTGGCAGAAATGCTAATTACAATAAATTGATTCTCAAAGATTTTGTCCGCAAGCTTCAAAAGAGGCTAGGAACCAACTTAACATGATGTAAAAGTACAGCTTTGAAATAAATGGACAAAGAAAAGCATTGCTTGGTCTTACGTAATGGGAATTATGTGAATGATCACGGTGTCATTTCAGAACAATTATCTCTTCATGAAGAAGTGTGTAGAAAGTAATCCAGTAGTGCCTATTCCACAGGAATCAGGAATGGTTAACTTCCATGCTCACTTTGGTACCTCAGCATCTAACAGAAGGCAAAGGCAGAGAAAAACTAGTTGAACAACTCTTAGCTGAGGTAACAACCGATTATGAAATGAGCATGAAGAGATATATGGGTAAGTTCCACTAATGGTACTATATTATATTTATATATGTTATAGCTACCCTGGTACTAGGCTTGCCAACTTCCAGGTGGGGCCAGGTGGTCTCTAGGAATTACAATTGGTTTCCAGACTATTGAGATCACTTCCTTGGGAGAAAATAGAAGCTTCAGAGGGTGGATTTTATGGCATCACATCCCTGCTGAGCTCCTTCCCCATGCTACATCTCCAGAACTTCAGGAATTTCCCAACCCAGAATTGGCAACCCTACCTGGTACTCGAAAACAGCTCTTAGTAATTTCTCAGTCATGTGTATGTTCCAACAAATGGTTTTCTATTACATAATGCAGAATTTTCTGGTACATACATTATTTTATTGGACAGCAAGAACTACAGTCCTGACCCTCTATCCATATACCCTTTATCCTTATTTTCTGAAAACCTACCTAGATGTTATTGTTTCTAGTTGTCGTCGTTACTTGAACTGGAGACTTTTTAGGTCAGGCTTCACACTGTTAATTTGTGCATTATACCATCTTTTAACAAAAGTCAGTGTAAGTTTTCGAAAACAAAATAAAGGTTAATGTTTGATTTTTAATATATAAAAAGGTAAGAAGAAATTATTGGAAATGGGAAAGTCTCTTTTTATAATAGTATTGTATTTGGCTAATACAAAATTAGTATTATGGTAATACAAAATATGTAAGTAGTTTCTCCAGTAACATTTGAGTGACCTCTTCAAACGTTTGAACAGTCAGTTTATTGATTTGTTTACTAGGAAAGAATGGAAAAACAAGAGAGTATTTTTAAAAAACATTGTTAATAATGTTTCCTAATTTATTAATATATTCTAGTGCGAAGTGTTCTGGTCAAGCCTTCTGTAAAAGGGCTTGAATATGAAAAAGAAGAACCGTTACCAGTTTCACCTATGTGAGTAAATTAAATTAATTATCCCTTTGGGTCTAATGAGCCCATCTGTTGCATGTATATATACTAGGAGGTACCTTGTTAACTGAGGAGCTATGGTGGCTCAAGTGGTTGAGACGCTGAACTTCAGGCTGTGGAAGGTCGGTAGTTCAGCAGTTCGAGACCCAAGTGTGCCATATGATGGAGTGAGCTCCACGGAAATGTCTTTGGACAATGCTGGCTCTTCGGCTTTGAAATGGAGATGAGCACCGCAACCCTAGAGTCGGATTCGACTGGCTTTTGAGCAAGGGAACCTTTACCTTACCTTGTTAACTGCTTGTTTGTGACAGTCATCTGGATTATCTTTAAATGTATCTCCATAATTCAGATGACACAAGGGTAATAAAAGTGTCAGGTATGAAAACTACTGCTTGAGGTCAATGTGGTTTAATCCTGCCTCTTGTATATATCTGATTAGCTGATTTCTAGAGGATGAGGAGGTAACAAAACTTGTAGGGCAACTGCTTCTTACTTTACTTGCTGAAAATTCAAATTGCTTAATTATTGAATTGGACTAGCTTGAATAATAGAAAGGTCGCTGGAATATTGGCATCCGGGTTGAAAGCATAAGGTCTTGACCTGGAAGTGATAACTGTACCCTTAGATTCCCTATGGCTCTGATTGAGAAATCAGTGGGCTGATGGGGTGGTGGAAATACATACTCTGTCTGGTTCCTTCCCCAAGGACTAAGAATCTTTTGCCTGAGGGGGAGAGTCAAGTATTGAGTCCTCTTTAGGGTGACTTATGGCATGGTATCCTTCAAACTGAGATATGGGAATGTTTGGGAAATGCAGGGTCCCTGGCGACTTCTGCTGACATGCATTTGTATAAGTCTCTGCCTCAGTCATGACTTCATAGGAAGCAGTATTTTTTTCTGAAGCAGATAAATGGAAGTCTTAAAACCAGTCCAATGAGTATTTTTAAGGAATGAAAGTATCCCTGTGATCTGTTAATTAGAAGTATGAAGTTACTTTACTTGTGCTTCTGTTTAAACTTTTCTTTTTCTTTTTCCAGTGGATTAGACTTTTCCCAGCCTTGGCATAAAAGCTTTTTACAAGCAAGAAAACAGATTCTCGCAAATTTACATATTCTTCATCCAACTCTAAGAATTTTACTGGATATTGGTTATAAAACCTTTTCTAATTTACTTATAGTAGATGTGTCAAGTTTCAGGTAAAATTTATGTTGAAGTAAAATTCTAAATGTAGTATGCATAAATAGGTCTGGTTAGGTACACTGTATTATGAATTGGTTATTTATTTTATGAGTATTTACAATTGCTTAATGTGTAACATTGATTCCTTACAATGCTAGATGTTAATGAAACAATTATATAATTGTTTCCTGTTACCATTATAGTTTGATTTGATTTTTTCCAACTTTGCACCAAGACTTTTTTCTCCAAATAAACTGCAGGTTCAATATTTTAATCAATGTATCTGATTCTGGATGTAGCCAAATCTGTGGATACTTAAGTTGGGAGAGCAGAATCATGAACAGAAAAGATAGAACTTTATACAAACCTGAAAAAACCCAGGTTTGCAGAAAAATCTAAAATTAAAAAACAAACAAACACTGGAGGGTTAAAGCCCCCTTCAAAATAATAGAAGCAGTGGCTTTCGCTTTAAGAAACAAATGCCTTCAGTGGCTGTTGCTAAGGAACCATAACAGTATTATCAGCCTTCCAGCCTCGGTTTCTGTCAGTAAAGGGTGTGTGTGGGGGAAGGCAGGGACCTTTCCAGAGGTGTTTTGGCCTTTGAGGGAAGACTCATCACAGCCAGGCCTGCCAGCAGCCACCAGGTGACTTGCTACCATGTGATTTACATGGCTGATCCAAGTTTGGCTGCTTACTACTGTTCAACAGCAGCTGTCTCATGAAATCCAGTATGATATAGTTTCAGACTAGGATCTGGGGGACCCAGGTTTGAATCCCCATTTTTCCATGAAAGCTTACTGGATGACCTTGGGCAAGTCACATACTGTTAGCCTATCTCACAGGGTTGTTGTGAAGATAAAATGGAGAACTATGTAAGTTTATTTGGGTCCCCCATTGTGGAGAAAAGCGGAGTATAAACGAAGTAAATAAATAATAAATATAGCTGAAGATGGAGAGCAGATAAATGGTAAGCTCGTTGGTGGGAAGGAAGGAGAGAAGGAAGCAGTGGAAGGTGAGGATAGGAGGGCCGCCAGGAGGAGCTAAAGAGGAAATAGTTTGGGGAGGGGATACAGGGGAAAGTGAATTGCCCCCCCCCCACAAGTCCTTGCAGGTTCCCCACTTTGTAATTGGGCCCCAGCTCAGCTGCCAGCACCACACAACTGGGCACAGCTGGCAGTTGGCACCACAAAACTGAGTCCAGCCCAGCCAAATAGCCAAAAGCATCCAGAGGGTTTTTTTGGGGGGGCTGCCGGGGGAAGGAAGGAAGGAGAGAAGGAAACAGGAAAGAAGACAGTGAGACAGTCAAGGTAGGTTGGCTGGTGGGTGGGAAGGAGAGAAGGAAACAGAAAAGGGGAAGCAGGAAAAGTGAAGATGCTATTGGGGCTTTTAGGGAAGGAAAAGAAGTAGTAGTGGGGGAGAGGGAAATGAGATGCCCCCTGCAAGGCCTCCTAGGTCCCCCACTTGCAGTAGATAAATAGCAAATTTCAGTACTTATGTGTGCACACTGTTTATATTTCCCCTCTTAAACAGCCATGTAATTGCCTTTGTTTCACACACTTTCATTTTTCATAGCAGTCTTATTTTATTAATATACAGGTCAAAAGGCCCAATTGATTGTGAATCACTTCAAAATGATGTGTCTATAAACTGCTTAAAAACAGAAGAAAAGATTTTAAACACATGGTATCCTAGGGTTATCAATCTCTTCACCAGAAAAGAGGCACTGGAAGGTGTAAAGGCAGACAAAGTTGATTCTTTCTATAATTGTGTGGCTACACTTATGTCTAATCAGGTAAAGCTGCTTTTTCTCTTATCTGTAGTGGTTAGAGTGTCCAGATCCTGTTCACCCGCTGGCAGGGGACTTTGAGGGGAGTCCCTGGAGGGGTTGGGGAAGTCCCCAATGTGATGACATCACACAGAAGTGATGTCATCATGTTAGGGAGGCAGCCTGAACTGCAAACGGTAAAGTTGCCACGTGCAGTTATTTATTTATTTGACTTATATCCCGCCCTCTCTGCAAGGCAGTCTCAGGGCGACTTACAAAAACTGTATAAAACAACTAAAACAGGGAATTCATACAATCACAACAATATAATCAAAAATGTTATTTATTTATTTATTCAGGTTCGTGCGACCCCTGCTTGCAAAAAGAATTTAAAGGAACCCTTTTAATGCTTTGTACAAGCGGGGGCCACTGGCACCTGAACTTCAAGCAGTGAATTCGGTGCTTGCAGTTCAGGTGTGCAGCTCTCCCTCCTCTCCTGCAAGTTTTAAAGGGCCCACCAGTTGATCAGTGGGCCATGTGCTCCAGCTGATCAGCTGGAGGGCCCTTTAAATCTTGCAGGAGGGGAGGGAGGGACCTCAACAGGGTATAATGCTACATAGCCCACTCTCCAAACCAGCCATTTTCTCTAAAGCACCTGATCTCTGTAGTCTGGAGATCACTTGTAATTCAAGGGCACCTCCAGGCCCCATCTGGAGGTTGGCAACCCTAATAGGGGCATATAGGTAGCCCAGCCCCACTAGTAATAAATTATGCTTATCAATATATTTGTATAGCTTTGCTGAAGTGGGGAGACATTTTCTTTTATGAGGTGTAATGAAATTATTCTATGCTCTTTTATAGCTGAAGGAGTTATTGAAAAGAACTGTTGAGGCTTATGTGAAACTATTTGATCTTCAAGACCAAAGATGGCTGCCTTTATTTAAGATGGATTTGACTTTTGATGATGAGAAAATGGACTTTTATCCAAGCTTTCAAGATCTGGAGGATGCTATATTGTTCATGATTACTTTGATTTCACAGAGTCTGCAGGTGCAGTTTAGTCTTCTCCTATTCTATCTCATAAATGTGTAGTAATGATAAATGTTACATCACATATACCTTAATGCCAACTAGAGTTGCTAGTAATTAAGGCACATACAACCATAAGTATATCCCAAATAATAACTGTCCCTGCACTTGTAGTGTGTACATACTAGATGTGCTGTTTGCTATAACCCTTAAGCAGTAATTTTGGTTATTGGGGATATTGACAACACCATTGGCACATATAACTGACATTCTCTGGTGCTGAGGGCTGTCTTTAGAGGCTAATGCAGCCAGATGGAGTCCAGAATGCTTTAGGGGCTCTTCCCCTACTAACCTTGACAGCATGTATGTTTTTCACCTGGTTTGCCTTAGGAATATCAGGTTGAAGGTGGTATGTATGTGCCCCCTTGCCCAGCTGGTGCGGAGTTTCGGGCTGGGTTGTCATCAATACACTGATGACACCCAGCTATATCTGCTACTGGATGGCTGCCTGAATGCCACCCCACATAATCTGGCTGAGGGTCTGGAGGCCGTGGTGGGATGGTTAAAATAGAGTAGGCTGAGGCTGAATCCAACAAAGATGGAGGCTCTGTGGCTGGTGGGGGTATGTCAGGGCTGGGGCATAGACTTCCTTCCCTTGACAGGGCGCCACTGACACTGGCACAATCCATCAATGCCTCCTTAACTGTGGAGGCCCAGGTCATCAAGTGTGGCAATTAGCCCCTTTCCTGTCACACCCTGATCTGGCCACAGTAATCCATGCAATGGTCACCTCCAGATTAGACTGCTGTAACTTGCTCTACGTTGGCCTTCCCTTCCCTTGAGACTGACCTGGAAACTCCAGCTGATCCAGAATGTGATGGCGCGAGTCCTGATAGGAATGACATGGACAGCACATATACAACCTGTGCTGCACCTGCTACACTGGCTTCCAGTGGAATACCGAGTCAGATTCTCCTCTGGTGTGCCCCCAGGAGAGTATTATGCTTTGGTGAGAGCAATCTGCTGGTGATCCCTGGCCCCAAAGATATCTGGCTGTCCTTGACCAGAGCCAGGACTTTCTTGGCCATGGCTCCAACCTGGTGGAAATCTCTGCCAACTTCCATCAGGGTCCTGCAGGATTTAGTGCAATTCCACAGGACCTGTAAAGTAGAGATGTTCCACCAGGCTTTTGGTTGAGGACAGCAATGGCTTTCCATCATAGCTGGCACCCTCCTCTTTTCTTCCATCCTGCCCGCTTTGCCTTCCTCCTTAACCTGCCCATGAGACAGAAGAACAGTCCAGAGTAAGTTTTAGAATGAATTATGGGTGCCATATGGAAATGATCAAATTAGGAATAATTGATCTGCCAGTTTTAATCTGTATTCTTTGTATGTTTTTAACCTGTTGCAAATCGCTCAGAGCCATGTGTACTCAGGGACTGGGCAATTCAGAAATTCGATAAATAATAACAATGTACATAAAGCAGCAAAATCAACATAAAAAGCAGAACCAGGTGGGCAGCTGTGTTGGTCTGAAGCAGTAGAACAAAGTTTGAGTCCAGTGGCACCCTTAAGACCAACAAAGTGTTATTCGAGATATGAGCTTTCATGTGCACAGGTGTGCATGCACATAAAAGCTCATACATTGAATAAAACTTTGTTCATCTTAAAGGTGCCACTGGACTCAAACTTTGTTATAAAAAACCGAAGACATTCTAATGCCACAACCAGCCATCAAGCCCACATTTCCAAAAACCAGCTCAAGTTTTAAAGTGGCTGGGATCCTAATTGGCATGTCTGGATGCTCTGCTGATGCATAGAGAAGGATTGAACCTCTTCCCTGAAGTAGTGGCCTTCCCAGAACCCTTTCCTCAGGTCTGGGGACCTTTCAGAGTAACAGCCCTTGGGATATGAGCTGCTGCCACCGGAAGGAAATTTTGCCTCTCCCCCTTGTATAAGCAGAAATACTCTTTACGCATGCACAAAAGAGGTAATCAGCCCCTGGCCTCATGTTTCCAGACGCATATATAGCTATTCTATTGCGTATAGTAGGATTCTTCACTGTTAAATATATTCACAAAAATAAATAGTGAGATGGTGTAGTCTGCAGAAGGTGCAAAATAGCTAAAACAAGTCAATTCGAAAGTGAAATTTGAAAAGGCAGAGAACAGTATGCTTGCAGCCTAAGTAATAAAAGTAAATATAGATATATTAAATTGAGGTTGATCAGTGAAAAGCAGTGTTTATGGGAAAAATCAACACTGTGCAAACTGTAAAGCTAAATTGCATAAAGTTTGCATTAAGGCATCCCTGACAAATACATTTATTCATTATTAAATAATTGCATAAAATCTATGGTAACTCCTATATGTGTTTTAAATAGAATGTCCAAACAGTACACTCTTGGTTAGGAGGCGGAACCGTTGTTTCAACGATTGACACTGAACTTCCTGATCATGTGATAAAATGGGCATCATCTATACTGAGGGGAGCAATTAATGAGAACTTGAAAGGTCCGAAAGCACATTTTGATTATTATGGTGAGTGACTTAAAATTAGACTTTGCAAGAGAATTTTAGTATATTACAGTGTAATCATAAGCAGAGTTACACCCTTTGACTTCAGTGGACTTAGAAGGCGGTAACTTGGTTTAGGTTTGTGCTGTGATATATATAATACTGGCAAGCTTTTAATGTGACTGTTGCCTTGCAGTTGAGAAATATGGCTGGCTGGTAGATGGTTCTGCAGATGACCGTATAGGAACATTTGAAGCTGAGGGACATAGTTTTGATGAATATGCAGAGGTAATTTTAACTTACAATTTATTAGTAAATGTAGTTTGTGTTTTGCAGATATAGACATAAGTTCTGGTTGCTACTAGAAACCCCTTTTCCCCCTATCCAAGCATGATTGTGTAAATGGCAATTGAATTTCCACAGTCCAGTGTTCTGTCCCATGTATAGTTCAGCCCGCTCTTATGTTTTGTAGTCCATCCTGTGTAATAGATGTCAAAACCTCCTAATAAGACTATAACTGACTAATTTCAACTTCACTTCAAGAGGGCCGTTTTTTTAGGAAAGAGATGCAAATGTCTCCTGTTTGGACTTTTTAAATAATCGGGATGCTTTGGACTAGATGAGTCCCACATTTCAGTGTTCTAGTTGATATAAACTGGACAATTGAACATCTCTCTCTTTCTATGTGATTGACAATCCCAGGAAACAAGATTCTAATTGCATAGAAACTGCTGTACACACGTGCATGTATAGAGTTTATGCATACATTCTAATGAAGTCATCTGGTTGGGGACAAAATTTGCCTCCACATTCCTGTTTCTCCTCCTCTATGTTTTCACTCTACCCCCTTAGAATATCTGAAATGTGCTCTAAAATTTACCCGAAATATTATATATTCATTTGAGGGATATGTGTGTTTAGGCTTAATTTACATTCTGAGCCATCCTAAGGAAAGCTTGCAGGTTGGGGGCAGAGCTTGCCGCCGAGATCCTGCTTCTCTTATGTTCATTCTTTATGCCCCTTGGCAAAAAGGGCTTTTCAGTTCTCTCAGTTTAAAGAGTGATTTATAAATGTCCTGTTTTCAGAGTTTGTATCATCTTGCACACACAACCCCCGTCAGGTTTCTAGGTGGCCCTAGTCAGTGGGTCCTGCGTATCAGTGTCCATTTTAAATCACTTTAAATCCAGGAAGTAGACCTGGAATACATAAAAAGCAAACAATGAGTGGGAGCCCAGTGGTACCTTTAAGACCAACAAAGTTTTATTCAAGGTGTGAGCTTTTGTGTGCAAAGCACACTTCGTCAGACAATGAAATGGAACTACAGAAGATAGTTGGCTTGTTAAATCAGCATGCAAAATAGTGAAGCTGTTTTTTAACAGATAGAAAGAATGTCAAGCTTGGTTTCTGGTTATCATCTGTTTGGGTTCAACATAGGTAATAAATATACTAGAATTGGGAAACCAGCATTAGATAACATACAATCCTAGTGGGATCCCACTCCCCACAAAATATATGATACTATGTTACGGCGTGTTCAGTTCTCTTTATTTCTAGTTGAGATTTTATGCTGCTTTATACAGGTTTGAAGCTTTTAATAAAAACTGAGGCAAAACACTGTATGTAGATAGCTAAGCTTTATGTCTTCATGCTGAATGGTTATATAAACTAGCAAATGTGATTCTATTTCCTCTGAGGAACTGCAGAAAAGTGGTAAATGTGTATATATAGGCTTTATCTCAGACTTCAGGTGGTAACTCATAAACTGAATGTTGTTTCATATAAAAAGAAAGAAATACATAGAAAACTTGATAATGGTTCTAGCCTAATCTTCTTCCTGACATACTAGTTTTGTTTACGTAGGGAATTTTTTTTTGGGGGGGAGCATATTTTAAAGAATGTAGCTGAAGTTAACAAATGTAATATTGTTTTAAAGTTTACAGATGAATTTCTCAGTCTTGCAAAGGAAATAATGAGCTTGCCAATGTTAGCTCATTTCCCTATGATTCGTTTAGACTGTGAGGATTTGAAACAAGGTTTGGTTGACAAAGCAAGAAGCTTCGCAAATAAATTATTGGCCAAATTAGTCCACAATCACAGAAGAGAAAATGAAATGTAAGTGAATTTCTTGCTGTATGTAACCTTTTGCTTTAAAAAGATATCACCAAAAGCACAGCTTTGTAATTTGTTACCTTTTATGTATTGATCTCTCAGAGAATCCTTGTGGGGGGGTTTTCTTGCTGAACCTTGACAGCCTGCTGCTATGACCTGTTGTTATATAAAAGTTGAGCATAAGACTGAATGCTAGGTTCCAATCCTGGTACAAGAGTCGCCTTGTCTATTTGCAAGAATTGCAGGTCCTGTCTGCATAATGCAGTGTCTGTAGCCTTTGGCACTGCAGGACAAGATATAGGTAAAATCTTTGCCCAGTGCAGCAGCACCATGCAAAGAGATTTTCAGGATAAGAAAGGGGGAGGAAGAAGGATGGAAAGGGAGGCAGGGCTGCCTCTGGCCCCCAGGACCAGATCATAGGGGCTATAGGAATGGCCCTGTGTCCCAGAGATTAGGGCAGAATTGTGCAAGCAAATAATCATGTTAATTGAGTTAACCTTTTTGGGGACTGTTAGAAAGCATGTGTGATGTAGCAGGATGATTTTGCCCAACTTGCTTTACTTTGAGTAGATGGATAGCCTACTCTATAGGGGGTTACACTGCTTCTGAAGAAGTAGGTTCACATAACCTCTCTCCCCCATAAAAACTGCCTGCACCTTACACCCCATTAAAATTCCTAGCAAGCAGGGCCTCCTAAATACCTCTAAATGCAGATAGGAGCTGTGATAGAAAAGGCATGGGCACTAGTTGTTACGAGGTGGGCTACCCTAAGCAAAGGGAACAACCTAAAGACCACAGCTGGGGGTTCCCTACATATGGGAAGAGACAGTCATTTAGATACATGGGTGTTGGGCTGTGAAAGGTTTTTAATGTCCTAATCAGCACCTTGAGTTGAATTTTGAAACAAACTGGTAGCCAGTGTAGCTGTTTTAAAATACATGAAACTCATTCCTGTTGGCTAGTCCCTGGTAGTAATTGGGCTGATGCATTCTGAATGAGCTGCAATTTCTGGGTTGTCTTTAAGGGCAACCCATTGTAGAGAGTTGGCAAACCACATGATGCAGTTGATAGAAGACACTCTAAGTCAAGAGGACAAAGAGGCCCAAGTCCGGCATGGAGACGCCTAAAGGAGCTCCCCTTCAGGCTCCCACCCCATGTCCTGCAGCCTGACTTGGCAAGCCGCCACAGACCCGGCCCACACCCCATCATAGGGCATGCACAGACATGCCTCCTTTCAGCCTCCCCAGCCTCCTGTGTCGCAAACTATGGCAGAGGGAAGTCTCAGCTGTGTTTCACAGCTGAGTTGGATGCATCTGGAGGCTTAGACAGTAAAACATAGAGCTGGGTGTCACTGGCGTACTGGTAATATCTAACGCCAAAGCTCCAGGTGATCTCATGCAGTGGCTTCATATTGATATTGAAGAGCATGGAAGAAAGAATAGAACCTTGAAGTACTCCCCAAGACAAACTCCAGCTCGTTGATTCTGCTTCTCTAGCGGAAACTCTCTGTATTTTATGAGACAGAAAAGACTGAAATCACCAAAGAGCTACTCTCCTTATGCCAGTTCTGTATCCCAAATAATGGATAAGAATGCATTGGTCAATTGTCTCAAAGGCTGCTGATAAACCTAACAATATCCACATGGAACCTAGCAACAAAAGTTCTCCTCTAGAATAGTGGTCTTTAGAGGAGACACGAAACCCAGAAATTTCTTTTATTCTGCCGGCACATTTTTAATGGTAACAGTGATGATTTTGTTTATAATGTTGCTTTGATTTTACTGTATTTACTTAATATGCTAATTGATTCTATTGTACAGTGCTTTAAGAGCTTTCTTGGAAAGACATGTAGAAATATGAGAAAGAAATGGGCACATGTCTTGTAGGTAACCACATTAAACCCTTTAAACTTTGATATAGATTAAGATATAAGTATTTTGCAGGATATGCCAAGAATTTGAAACGATTAAAGAACGTGCATTAAAAATCCCTGAGACAACTGAGGAGATGATGGCAAGTATAGCTTATATAGACATGGCTAAAACTGTAGGTCTCCACCAGCTGAATGAAAGGATCAAGGTATGTGATCATATTGTTTTTGAGTTGATTTTTTTACTAATAATGCAGGTGGAGATGGTTGCCTTGCACTATACCGCATCACATTGCAAGCAAAACTGAATGTAATAAACAGCATGCTTTTGGGTATAAATATACAAAACATAAAAATCTATCAGTAGCCTTGTTGGAGATCTATTTATAGAATTGCAGCCAGGTTCTGTTTTTCAGGTTTTGTTCCCAACTTCGCTCTTCATTGTGCATTTGAGAGGTTGTTATATGAGAGGAGCTTGAAGCACCTCTGAACTGTATACAGATTTTCATATGGTTGAAATATATTTCTGTGGTTTCCATGCCTCCTTGTGCATCCAATACTGTTCTCATGTCCTCTCTCTCTAATAGTCCCTTCTCCCAGCTCTCCTTTTGTGTCTGCTTCTTTCTGCCTACTAGTTCTCTTTCAAGCTTTGGTATAATTCACAATTCTAATTTCTCCTAGTAAAGACCTAGATTTTACTGTGTCTTTGGGTGGTTAGAGGACAAGTTGCTTCTTCATGGTCTTTGTGCACAAATGATGAGCTTTGCAGTTGCACAAATTTGGAAACTTCTAGAGCTAGCATTTAGGCATGAAAATCCTCCCCCTCACAGATGATGCTTCAGTCTGTGCATGCCCAGAGGGGAGGAGTTGTGCCTACTCACAGTTCTTTTCTGTCTGCCACAGTTGCAGCAGTATTTGGGAACATCTTTGAGAGTTGTTCCATGCAAGAGCTGTTTTTTCCTCTTGGGTTTTTCTTCTTCAAAACTATAGTTTATAGAATGTAGTTCTAGTTAGTTAGTTATTCAGCCATTAGTGTTTTTTCATCTTTGCGTAGAGATACCAGAGGACACATCTGTCTGATGGAAAACTGGAGGACTTGCCAAGAAAGCCTGTCTTATGGCCATCAGCTCTGGTTCTTCCATCTCCACAGGATTGTCTGGTACCTGAAACCATACATATTCCAGGTCTCAAAACTGAGGTCCACATAGAGTTTGATCCAACTCAGTATCAGGGATCCTCTCTAGAGTCCTTCCCAGGGTCCTGTGGTGCTTCCTACTGATATCAAAGGTACCATATCTATGTGGACAGCTATCACTTTTTATCTTCCTATATCACTGAAATATCCTGCCTATTATAGGAAGGAACATAGACTACTCCCATGTTCAAGAATGGTACCCAGTTCAATTTTAAGTGGGTTGCAACATCGTATTGACCCTTGGTACCAAAGCCTCTTAGATTGTTCCATGACAGCCACACTTAAACATAGTGTGTTTAAGAAAAGATGGCAGAAATTAGATAGATGGTTAGAAATATATGGATAAGATGCTCCAAAAATGTTGTAAAACTAACATATTTATTTTTGTATATGATGTTAAAATCAAAATAAACTATTTTTAAAAAAAGATTGTTCCATGACAGCCCACCGTGGCTGGGACTTAACTACACTCACCTATCATCCTGTTAGACAGTGCCCTGTAGCTTTGCCTTTAGTCTGTCTCTGCTCACTGAACCCTTTGGTTCTGAAATCTCTCCCTTCAACTGCTTAGCGCCTTTGCTCCTAAAAGCTAGCTCTAGAAGTTTCCAAATTTGAGCTCAGTGCAAGTGCAAAGAGCATCAATGTGAATGCACATCTAATCATCCAAAGTACAACATTTACAGTTTAAGCAGCCTGTTTCCCCCCCCAGCAGCCATATTTGAATAGCTGTAAACTGCACACAGCTGCTGAGCTGCTAACCCTTGAGACTGAAATCACTAACCAGTTTAGTTGTCATGTTGAAGTAAGTAAGGCCAATCCTGAATGTGGGATGTAACCTGCGATTACTATATGAAAATTTGCTTCTATAATATACTTGCAGTTTTTTTTTATAAAAGGCATTTTAAATTCTGGTCTAACTGAAACTACAAAAGGGAAGGGCTGAATATAACAGTGTTAAAGGGATAACAAAGAAGTAAAAAAGCAAATAAATAAATACCCCCCCTCTCGCTAGTACCAGTATAGCAAAGGGGTGCACCAAGCGTTTAAATTTTCCAGTATTCCAAACAAATAGATAAAAATGCCATTAAATGTATAGCTACAGGTGTGATACACAGAACACTTTCTATATGAATGCCAGTGGAAACAGAGTAACATAGTTTGATGGATATTATTATAAGACAGACAAGAGCTTAGTGACAGAACACAGGCTTTTCATGACAGAAGCCTCAGGTTTAGGCTCTGGTATTTTCAGTAAATTGGATTTCAGTGAAAGAATCTCTGCTGGAGAGCTGTAGACAGTTCTAGGCTGGATGAGCCAATGCTATGACTGTATAATATGCTAAGACGGCATAATATGTTCATATTTTTACACATATCCCACTTTCCTAGCATTGACAACTTCAAGGTGCAGCATTGCTAGATACAATTTCCTGCAAATGACCTCGGTGACCAGCACAGGATTTCTTGCTCTGGTTTGGGTTCTTAACTGCAGGGGATTTTTTACGTACTTTGGCCCCGGTCACACGGGCTGGATATCGCGGGTGTGTGTGTGGCTAATTGCCCCGGCGCAGTTTGATCCGCGGTGATGCGATCAGATGCGCCGGCGGCACACCACCGGTCCTTCCCTCTGTGCCGGCGGGTAAATGAGGGACCGGAGGGGAATGCTGCGCGCAGGTGCGATCACACCACGGGTGTCTGGAGGCAGCCCGTGGCAAACATTTACTAGTACCTTGGAGGTACTAGTTTTTTAACGCGCATTGTCGGCGGTAAGCCACAGATGCGCTCCACTTCCCAGATGTTGGGGTGTGATCGCGCCCAGATAATCTGCCCACCATCCGTGCCTCTCCCATGGCAACTTTGTCGTGTGACCGGGGCCTTTGTTGTCTTTCTGCAGTTTCCCTATGCCTTCTCTGTGCTTTCTCAAGCAACCTTTGATCTGAAGTTTTCTGCTGGTATGCAGCTGAAGAATGTTTGTCTTCTGTGTGGAAAGTATGCTGCACTTCCAAAGCTGCCACCAGTTTGGTGCTGTTTTCCTTGCCCTGATCCCCACAGCCACTATTTCTTTCCCTGTACCACCAAGGGGCTTTTTCAGATTTTTTTTTTAAAAAATCAGTGCTAGCTAGATCACTATAGTCGTGTATCTACTCTGGATTGCCAGCTTTCATTTTTAAAAAGTAGTTCACTTGTCCTTTTCATTCCCTTCTGTTTCTGCAATAAAAGGGGCTAGATATTTAGTTTTTAAAAAAATGAAAGCTAGGAATTCAGAAGACCTAGCAGATAGATAGTTACAGTGCGGTAGCCAGAGGTCATTTCGGGGGGGATCGCAGTTCCCCCGGGTGAGGTATGGGGGGCGGGGCACATGACGAAGCCCCGCCCCTGCTTCCGGCCCTCAGAAAGTAAAAAAGAATCATGGACAATATGAGAAATAAGATTAACACCCAGCTAGCTCAAGAAAGCACTTCATACAGCAGAGTTAATCTGTGGAGTGCACTTGATAGCAGCTTGTTCTGCATTGTTTTTTTTTTTTTTTTACATATTTTATTTTGATTTTTAAGTCATGTACATATCAAAAAGTAAGTATACTCAATTTTACCACAATTTTGGAGCTGCTTATCTGTAAATTTCTAACCACCTGTCTAATTTTTGCCATTTCTTCTTGAACACGACATCTAGTTTTCCCGCGAGTAACATGTTTACTTTGTCCATTTCCTTTATATCTATAATTTTTGTAACTAATTCTTCTCTACTGGGCACTTTATCAGACTTCCAACATTTAGCTATAGCAATTCTGGCATTTGTTAGGATATACAATATCAGGCATACGTCATTATATTTTATCTTTTCTGGCAGGATATTTAACAAGTATATTTCTGGTTCCAATGGTAATTCAATTTCTACTATTTCTAAAATTAGCTGTTTTATACTTTTCCAGAATTTTGCTATCTTTTCGCACCTCCACCAGATATGATAGTAGGAACCAACATTACGTTCACACCTCCAACAGTTCCCCGATACATTTTTATAGCATTTTATTACTCTGTCTGGTGTCCAATGCCATCTGTGGAACATTTTAAAAATGTTTTCTTTGTATGATGTGGCTCTAATTAACTTTATTGAGTTCCACATTTTTAACCATTTCACTATTGTTATATTGTTTCCTGTATCTTTCTCCCACGCCTTCATACAAGGTTTTAATACCTCTGTTTGTGTCTCTTCCTTTAATAGGAAGTTATATACTTTTTGTATTTGTTTGCTAATGAGTTATGCTAATGAGTTCCCCTAGCTCTTTTTCTACGAAATGACCCCTGGCGGTAGCATTATCAGCATTTTTTAAAAAAAAGAATATGGGAAAAAACCCACCTGGTGGCATGAAGGAGGAAATGTCAACTGTGGGGCAATGGAACAGGGAAAGGGCAGGGAAACCCACCTCATGGAAGTCCGTTGCTGCTGTGCTGAATTGGAAGTTACAGCAGCAACAGGAAAACTACATGGGATTTTTGCCATGTATAAGACACCTTATAGGGTCTTCATAATATTTGCTTTGTTTACAAGTGCACACACAGCTCATGTGGATGCAAACAGGCACTTTTTTGAGGCAACTGGTGCTCTACCTTACATCAGATCTCCAGAGTTCTTGCATCCTCAGGTGCTTCACCTTCAGGGACTCTATCTGCCCCCCCCCCTTGAAAGGTGATACATTTTTTCCTCAGAATCTGCCATGCACTTTTCTCAGGCTCCTGGTGAATTGCCCATTTAGGAAATATCCACAGCCTTTAAAGACAATTAAGGTTCTTTTGGGTCAACCCCCTGAGTCCTCTCCAAAGTCATTTCAGGAAAAATAATATTGCTATGACTATTTCAGAGATATCAGATAGCAAATTCACAAAAATATGTTTAGTTTCTCCTTGGGTAGAATGGAGAAAATAAATAGTGCTGTTTATGCCAGATCTTTCATTGGATCGAACAGTCTATCAGCAGAAGGCAATGGCAGGTGTGGATTTTTGTGCTATTTCTCTCCTCACAGCTGAAGCCACTGTTGCTGCTGTACTGTGTTGGGAAGAAGATTCCCTGCCCCCCCAGCAGTATTTTTAAGATGAGTACTGGGTGACTCATTAAATGCAAACTGGGTTGGGATTTTCCCTAATCTCATGCACATTTAATGTATTGTCTAATCAGACTCTGATAAAGAGGGATCACACAATCAGTCCTGAGACTTGACTCTTCCCTTTCTCCAGTCACAATCCTGGGAAGAATCCCTAAGAAATTTGGATTCTTGTTTTTAATTAGTACCAGATTTCTGTTTGTTTGAGAATTGAAACTATTTCATTTCTTTTGTAGGAATGCAAGCAGCGAATGAATTACCTGCTAGATGTTTATCTATTTGATCAAGATGACTTGACACTCAATGCAACTGTCCTGTTGTGGCCTGTATATATTAATCCCATCTTTGATGAAAATGATGATGTAAATAAATATTTTAATTTTATATATTATAGTATTTGAGACCCTAATGAGCTGGTTTTGAAGCCTGATTGGGTCATCTTTAACAAGTCAGCCAATGTTGCGTGCAGCATGTTTGGTCTGATTCAATGTAAGGCAGCAGCTCTTGTGTGATGATGATGTCACAAATGTTGATCCCTGTGGAATTAGTTTTGCCATCCAGTGGGGCCTGGAGATCTCCCAAAATTTTAGTTGAACTCCAGACTACAGGTATCATTCCCCCTAGAGAAAACAGCAGCAGTACAAATGTTGATCCCTGTGGAATTAGTTTTGCCATCCAGTGGGGCCTGGAGATCTCCCAAAATTTTAGTTGAACTCCAGACTACAGGTATCATTCACCTAGAGAAAATAGCAGCAGCAGAGGGTGAATTCTATGGTATCACATCCCTGTTGAGTTCCCTCTACTCCCCAAACTCCACCCCTAAATCTCCAGGAATTTCCCTGCCCAGAGCTGGCAACCTGTAGATGTTTATCATTAACTTTCTGTTAACATTTATATTTTGTGTTACAGATTATTGAAATGTCTAAACGTAAAGGTGAAAGTGAGTTATTGGCCAAACGTGAGAAACTGATACTAGAAATAGAAAAGCAGACACGACGTATGCAGGAATTTTCAGAATACTCAGATTTAGACCGCATGCAACAGGTCTGTGCCACAAGGGGTAAAGGGCTCAAAGAATCCCAGTTTAGCATGTTTTGCAAGGACAAAAAGTTTAGCATGTTTTGCAAGGACAAAAAGTTAAAGGGTGAAAATCTGTATCTGTTTGGCAACTTAATAAGCTCAACATCTCACTATCATATTACTGCCTCATTATTTAGATAGTGGGTGATTCTGCATCTAACATTCGCTCCACATTTTCTCAACTGGGAGGAAAAGGTGCAGCTTAAAACCACATTCAAATACCCTGGGGCAACGCTGTACTACTACTGACTGCAAAGTCACCCCTGAATGGCCATAAATCTATGCAGAACCATAAAACCCGATGATAAAAGAAAGCAAAAGCGGCATGCAGTGTAGAGGGGAATTTCCATTCCAGCGTCTGTTGTAAAACAAGAGAGGGAAAAGCCAATGCAGAATCGCCCAGTGTTGGCAAAGTCTCGTAGTAGGGGGGAAGTTTCATCAGAAGGAGATAAGATAGTAAACCAACTGCACACGTGAAATGGTTCTGAGTGTTAGGCAAAGCAAAGGTTTACCTTTATGATTAATATATGGGAGGGGGGAGTGAAATCCTGAATTTAGTTCTCACTCTGCCAGACATGTAGCTCCCTGTTGTAATATTTGGGACAATTTATCTCCGTCTGTGTGATGTGCAGTCCTCTTCCTAAAATTGCAAATGAATGGGGAAGCCCTCACTTTCATGGAAGCTTTTCTGTAAAAGTAACTGTTGGACTGTGTGGATACTATATGTCCTGAGAGGATGCATATTTAACCTTTGATTGATGTCTTTGCAAATTCCTTGCAGTACTGTATCTGTGCTAGTGTTTGCTCTGTGCTAGTGTTTCAAGAGGGAAAACATTCAGTTTCCAACGAAGTTAACAAATAATATTATTCAAGATTTATTAGAGGGTTGGGAAAGAAGTCAAGAACTTGTTCATTTAGAGTGAATTTGCACAGGTTTTATTTTCTGAGATGTATCTTGAAAATAAATAGTGTTGTTTATGCCACTGGATCGAATAATCAGTCAGCGGAAGGCAATGGCAGGTGTGGATTTTTGTGCTATTTCTCTCCTCACAGCAGTCCCTTCCACCCAGGGAGAAGTTGCTTGTTGTAGGACCCGTATGTACTAATAGTGGTGCTGGTGAGGGAGTTGCAGTGAGGGCAGGAGAAAGGAGAGGAATCACTCATGGCTTAGTGGATTCAGTTCCTTGGTCTGAGTCATTGTTCCAGGTTATACTTCCTGTAATGTCCCTGTGAAGGAAATGGACATAAGAGAGATTAATTGATGCGACCTGGAAAACCCCAACCCAACTTGCATTTAATGTGTGACCTTGGACTCACCTTAAAACAATGGAGGAAGGGGCAGATCTTCTCTTCAGTGCAGCAGGACAGCAGGAGAGGCTTCATTTATTTTATTTTATTTACAAAATTTATATCCTACCTTTCTGTCCCAGCCAAGGGTCACTGTGGCAACTAGCAAAGCATATAATATATGTTTTATATAATATAATAATATATATAATAAAACAATAATTCCTTCCCTTCCACCCCACACTCTTTTACTACCAGAAACAAGTTGGGGGCAGGCTGTTTTTTCACTGCTGGTTCCACATTGCTCCTGGGTGGACGCCTGGAGCCAGCAGTGAGATAAACAGGCCCCCCCAGCCCTTTTGTGCTAACAAAACTAAGGGAATAACGAAGCCCTTCCTGTAGCCATGCCACGCTCAGGGTCACATGTTAAATGCAAGTTGGGTTGGAGGAAACCCCATTTAACATATCATCTGATCATATCCCAAACAAGGTTGGGAATGTCAACAACTAGTGCAGCAATAATAGTAAGGGGCAAGAAGATACCATAGAAGCAGTTACTTATATACATGCTTATAAGGTTGCCAAAATACTTATATTATAAATTCTTTTGCATATTAAACTGTGATTTTTATGACACATTTGATTATTGAATCCATTGCTTGAAATTTCTTAGAAAGATGATTGCATTAAATGGGAATAGTTAGTCCAGTGATTTCTCCACATTCTGAAAAATCAAAAAATGTATCTTTTAGTGGATTACAGAAAACACGTGTAGTTGTACGCTATATTTCTAAAGCAGCACTTGTTATTTTTAAGAATGAATGATTTACTGTCTTTTGGGGTTCTGGAATGATATGTTTGTAACTGAATTGATTCACTATTTCTCAAGACATATGTCTATGTATATTTTCAGTATGTAACTGACATGCGAACACTGCAGAAACGCATACAAGAAGCTGATGAAATGGTTGCTTTTATTAATAAAGAGGAGGGGCTCTTTGAATGGGAACAGACAGAATACCCAGATTTGGAGACTTTAAAAGTTAACATTGAGCCCTACCAGAAACTTTTTGCTTTTATATTGAAATGGCAGCGGACTGAAAAACGGTAATGAAACACACAGATATTGTAATGAAAGAATTATTACAATAGTGAAAGTGCTTTTATTTGTTGAAGAAAAATTTGTGGACATAACTTTAATTGAATTCTTACACTGTTGTGTTTGACAATGAATGTGTATGCTTTGTTTATGAGGCGCTAATATAAATTTATTATTTACCTTTTAGATTTTGTCTTATATTAAGATATGCTAGTATATTTATTTAGAAAATTTATATGCTATCTCTCCAGAGATCAATTTGAGACAGCTTACAACAAAAAAACCCTTTAAATTATAGTAAGTAAAACCTAAGCCATTAAACAAGCCATTAAAACAAGCCACTAAAATCAATTCAAGGCCATTAAAACAACTTGAGACATAACAACAGAAAATACACACTGAGCAGCCTAAAATTATATAGATAAAATGATCCTTGGGGCAGAAGAAGACCATAAAACATTTAAATAATAAAACCCTTTAGTTAAAAGCCTGGGTGAAAAGGAATGTTTTCGCCTGATGCCTAAAAGAAAGTAACGCAGGCGCAAGGCAAGTTTCAAAGGGGATGGAAATACAAAGGTGAGGTGCTACCACTGAAAAAGCCTTGTCTCTGATTGCCACCCACCTCTCCTCTGAAGATGGGGGCATAGAGACCTGGGCTTCAAAACAGGAGCTTAATTGGTGCATTGGACAATACAGGGGAAGGCAGTCCTTCAAGTACTTGAGTGGCTTTTTGCCCACCTGTTGATTTTTGAATTATCTAATTTTCTTACTCATGTCAAAAAGAATAATTCATACCAAGCAAGTGCAAGTGTGTCCCCTCAAAGACCAGTGGCAAATGTGCTATGTGAAGTTCACTGTGTGAAGCAGCTGGCTGGGCTCTGTAAACATAGACCGATCTGGTGGCTGGAAGGGCTGCAGTATCCTGCTTGAAACATAGCCCAATCTATCCGGCAAGTGTGCTACTGTCTTTTATCAGGTACAGATCTTTAAGCTGGGAGGGGCTATGTTTCAAGTGGCTGTGCTCAGAGTGTTATGCCCAAGTCTTTGTGTTCTGTTTGCTCTAGTGTTCTTACCTTAAAAGAATGCTATTATGAGTAGGTCAGCTGGCAAGAAAAGATGTCCTAAACAGAGTTCTTCCCAGTTATTAGATCTACCTGTTAGCCTGAAGAGGATCTGTTAGTAGAGAGCCCCATCAATCAGTAGTATCTGTTCAGGCATTACAAGGGATAGGTGTTCCTTTTTAAAGAGTATGCTTACATATAGTTATTTCTGAGAATATATACTGGGAATAGTTTCGACACGCAACCATAATTATCTGTCCTTCTCTAGAGTTTATCCTGTTCCAGAAGTGTAGAAAAATGCCGTACAAGTTTAATAATATTGTTTCGGAACTAGTGAGGGAGTCTTTTCTATTTACACAGTTCAAGTATATGCATATTTCTCATATTGATATTCTTACACAACTGCAAAGTAGCATAAAGTTCTCCCTTTACACCAGAAAATGAATTCTTTACAGTCTTTAAAATTTGTAGACAGGTTACCATTCCTTGTTTGAAATGACAATCTTGGTGAATGCAAACTTTTTAAAAAATGTTGAATTAATCTAGCACAATTTTTAAAGTTCTGAAATGGAGATCCACTAAAATGTTTTGATGTAAAATTTTATATTTATCATCCTTATTTATTTATTTATTTATTTGATTTATATCCCACCCTCCCCACTGAGGCAGACTCAAAACGGCTTACATAAAATTTGACAAGTAAAACAACAATTATAAATATAGCTCTAAAAACAAGACTTAAGGTGCTAGTATCAGTTTATACGGCGATGGTGAGCAGAGTTCCCTCTAAGCTGAATTAGTGTGAGCTAACTCAGAGTTTTTTAGCCTCTGGCTCATACATTTTTGTCTTGGCTCAGGAAGGATGGCTCCAGAACAAACTAATTTATGCAGTAGCCAAATCACTTGCTCTCAACTTTAATGGCAGTACCTCACAAAGTAGAATTTTTGCTCGCAAGATTCCACAGCTTAGAGGGAGCATTGATGGCGAGGCAGTAATAGCAGCAGACATACTAAAAATACAGTCAGCAGTTATTACAGTTTGGCAAAGCGCAGGCTATTGATAGTGGCATTGGGCACAGGGTCTTAGTTGTTGGATGCGGCTCCTTAACTAAAGGCCTGGTGGAAGAGCTCTGTTTTACAGGCCCTGCAGAACTGTAAATGGTCCCACAGGGCCCTAGTATCTTCCAGGAGCTCTTTCCACCAGCGCTGAGTCACCGCTGAAAAGGCCCTGGCCCTGGTTGCTGTTAGCCTGGCATCTTTAGGACCCGGGAGGGCCAGAAGGTTTTGAGACCCCGACCGCAGTGCTCTCTGGGAAACATGTGGGGAAAGGCGGTCCTTCAGGTAGGTAGGCCCCTAACCATAAAGGGCTTTAAAGGTAGGCACCAGCACCTTGAAGCGAATCCGGTATGCTATAGGCAGCCAGTGCAATGCTTTTAGCGCAGGGTGAATGTGCTCCCGCATGGGGAAGCCCAATAGCAGCCTGGCCGCTGCATTCTGCACCAGCTGAAGCTTCCAGATTTGGGACAAGGGCAGCCTCATTTAAAGAGCACTACAGTAGTCCAGTCTCGAGGTGACCATCGCGTGGTTCACTGTTGCCAAGTCGTTGCACTCGAGGAAGGGAACCAACTGCGTAATCAGCCGAAGATGATAAAAGGCTGACTTAGCAGTGGCTGCTACCTGGGCCTCCATCGTTAAGGAGGCATCCAAGAGCACTCCCAAGCTCCTAACCTCTGGCGCTGGCACCAATGGCACCCTGTTGACGGTTGGGAGTGGGATCCCCAACACCGGGCTGCCCCGACTCAGGCACAGGATCTCCGTCTTCATCAGATTCCATTTCAGTCGGCTCAGTCTAAGCCATCCAGCCACAGCCTGCAACGCCAGGTCCAGATCTCCCGGACTAGAGTCTGACTGGCTGCCCAACAACAGATAGAGCTGGGTGTCATCCACGTACATAATGCCGTGCAAGATTAACATTTTTGCTTTCCTTTTTTTAGGTGGATGGATGGTGCTTTCTTAGACCTTAATGGGGAAAGTATGGAAAGTGAGGTAGATGAATTTTTTCGGGAAATTTACAAGACACTAAGGTTCTTTCAACAGAAGCTAAAGAAAGCTGAACTAGAAAAGAAAAAGTCAATGCAACGCAGACAACTAGTAGATGAAAAGGTAGAGGACGAAAAAAAAGATAATCCAACCACTGTAATGTGTGCTGCAGTAATGGAGCAAATTAAAGATTTCAAGGTAAATGGGTATGTCTAAAAATAGCCCCCTTATGGTTCTCACATTTGTGATTTACACATTCAAGAGTAAATTGGAAAACACTGTAGAATGTGTTGTACAATGGTTTTTGGAAACTGAGTTACATGTGAACACTTTTGAATAATAAGGCTTCTTTACAAGATCTTAGAGATCTTTCCAGAAGTTGTTTGTGGAGCAGATGTGCTGCATAAAATAATTTTTAAAATTAGAGTTTTCAGAACACTTTTACAGCAGTGAAATTTATCTTAAAATACATTTTCTGTATCCCAGGAAAATATCCCTCTGGTGACTATCCTGTGTAACCCAGGCATAAGGACTCGTCACTGGCTACAGATGTCTGAAATTGTTGGATATGATTTAACACCAGATTCTGGAACAACACTAAGAAAAGTTCTAAAGCAGAACTTGACCCCTTACCTTGAACAATTTGAAACCATAAGTATGGGAGCAAGCAAGGTATAAAGATTAACATTTTTGTATTAGTTTTACACAATCCAAATTAATTCAGAGATAATAAGGTAATTTATTTCCACTGTGCTCTAGGAATTCTCATTAGAGAAAGCAATGCACACTATGATGGAGACCTGGGATGCTATTTCCTTTCAAACAAGCTTATATCGTGAGACTGGAGTTAGTATTTTGTCTGCAGTTGATGAGATTCAGACTATTCTGGATGACCAGATTGTAAAAACACAAACAATGAGGGGATCACCTTTCATCAAACCATTTGAAAAACCAATGAAGGTATTTGTAAATATTGTAAACTATATTCATACATTGATGTTGTTTAGCTTGTTGTTTTTGCATATCCTAGGATGAGTAAATGATAATAATGGCTGTTTTTTTAGAATCTTCATTTAAGAGCTGGATCAAGATGGGTAGCCATGTTAGTCTGTCTGTAGCAGTAGAAAAGAGCAGGAGTCCAGTAGCACCTTAAAGACTAACAACATTTGTGGCAGGGTATGAGCTTTCAGATATCTGAAGAAGTGAGCAGTGACTAAAAAAATCTCATAACCCTGCCTCAAATTTTGTTAGTCCTTAAGGTGCTACTGGACTCCTGCTCTTTTCTACCGTTTAAGAGCTAGACATTGAGGTCTGTTTATTTCAAAGGACTTAGAAGCAGGGGTCGTTTGCGGCCGGAGTGCGCTGGAGCACTGCTCTGGCAGCCCAGGAGCAGGCGCAAATGGTGGCAGCGGCAAGCCCCGCCCCCAGCTCCCCATGCCACAGCGCTGCGGCCCGGGGGAGGCCTGAAGATGCCTGCCGCTGGCTTCCCCGGGTCCACACAGAAGCGCTGTCGCCTGAGGGAGGGCTGGAGAGCCCCACATCCAGCTTCCCCGGGCCCGCGCAAAAGTGCTGCCGCCCGGGGGAGGCCTGGAGAGCCCCACATCTGGTTTCCCCAGGCCCGCGCGCAGAAGTGCTGCAGCCCAGGGGAGGCCTGGAGAGCCCCGCAGCTGGCTTCCCTGGGCCCACGCTGAAGCGCTGTAGGTCGGGGGAGGCCTGGAGAGCCCCGCAGCTGGGTTACCTGGGCCCACGCCGAAGCGCTGTAGGTCGGGGGAGGCCTGGAGAGCCCTGCAGCTGGCTTCTCCGGGCCCGCGCCGAAGTGGTAAGTAAGGGATCCGTGGGGTGGCGAGGGCTTGATGGGGGGGTGGGAGAGCCTCCCTCC